TAGGGAAAAAAAAAAAAGGGACACAACAGATCACTTAAGCACAGCACATGGAGAATTGAAAAGACCAGGGCAGAAAGACTTGAGAAACAAATTGTTAAGCTTTATTACCACAAACACCAATTATTAGCTGCTATTATACAGTAGGGGCAGCTCTGCTGCCTTCGTGTTCCAAGTAGCAGTGTGTATCTCTTCGAGGCTGCTCTGTTTCTCTGTTTAGACGGAATCTAAAACCAGTGAGATATAATCCTTGTAAATGGGATTTACTGATAATTTCTGCCTGAAGATAGAAATATTACTGACCTATTTTTTTTCTTGTTTTTTCTGCAGGAGGTGAAAGTGCTTTACATTGACCGAATGCAATTCAAAATAAGATCAATTGGGTGAGCTTAAACAATCAGTTGAGTGATGAAATATCTTTACTGAAAATGCACATATTACCTTCAGAGTAACCACTCTGCAATACCGTGATGTGCTGGAGTTCACTAATGCTTTCTAAAATGTGGATTGTGGACTTCCTTTTTTTTGTCTTTGAGGCTTTAAATGAAAATCTTGGTCCTATGCTTGTCAATGAAACTAATTAAAACATTTGATAAATATTATCAGAATTCCAACCACCTCTCTTCTTTTTGCCTTTAAAGGTGGGGAGAAGAGTTCTCTTTACCCAAACACCCTCAGGTATGAAGTGGTTCATCTGTACATCTTTTACATTTTAGGGGTAGGATGGGGAGAGGTGGTGTCTTTTAAATCAGAGCTCTGAGTTCTCAAGAGATCCAAGTATAAACACATCCACATGTTATCACAGACAATAAACTTAAGATCTCACTTTCTGCCTGTTTTTTGTGAACGCATTTCTGAAGCTGTTGGCCTGAGCATCTCATGCTTCCTCAGCACTAGCGAAACTCCACAGCTGGCTTCCTTTTTTGTGATGCTGATAACAGAGTAAACCCCTGTTTAAAAATCTATATTCAGAACGTGTACAGGGGTTTGGCTTTCACACTGTTGTCAGAGCTTTTTGCTTGGTCAGTTACTGCCTTTCCCCGCCCCCCCTAAAGAGTTATTAGAAGCAAATCCTTATCTCCCTGCCAGCTCTTTAGCTGTGTCAGTATTAGCATGGCAAATGTTGATGTTCTGTCAGAGGTAAGAGGAGGAATTGGTAGTATTCAGGAGGCATTAAAATAAGGGGAAGGTTACTTACTCACTATTTGGCCTGGCCAGGTCCTCCTTGGCATTAGTATGCCAACTTTCTTATTCATTGAAAGAAATACAGTTACAGCTTTTTGGCAAGAAAAACTATTAAACTGGATAGCATTTGTAGAAGGTGATAAATACTGTGTCTTATCGTGAACTGCTACAAGGGATGTAATTTATGAAATCCATGGTTTTGTGTCTTTTCTCTCTAGGGCACAGAGGTTAAAGCTATAACTTACTCAGCAATGCAGATCTGTGAAGACGAAAAGCCGGAAGTCTTTGTCATCATTGATATTTAAAGCAAGAGAAGTGTGGTTGAGTGGATACTTGTCACTGGCTGGCAAAAATCCCTTAAACTGTAATCCCCGTGGAAGTAACTAAGAATTGGCCAATTCAAGTCATAAATTGAAGGGAGTAATTGCGGGGAATGTGAGCCTCTGTTTTGACCTGAGGATGGTGAGACAGAGAAATACCTGCATGCCAGGAAAAAAAGAGCTGCTTGTTGAGAAGAGAGTTGTAGGC